GTTTCGAGAAAAACGCGTTTAAAGTTTGAAATCGTATTTGTGATATGAAATTTTCAAAATATGGGCTTGCTGATTTTTTCACCTTTACTCTGCTATCCCAGCTCCATATAGCTGTCCTTCTACATTCGAATTTAGCTCGTCAGTCTCCTTCCTGAGTGCCGTAAGATCCTTCCGAGTGCTTTTTCGGTTGATCGACGATGAGCGGTTGGCGGCTCGAACACGATGTTGGTCGATTTCCATTGCGTAATTATGCAACTCGGGACTAATCTTCAATTCGAGGGTTGATACTACATCTAACAGTGATGAAAAGCCGCCATTATATGTTATGACGGCTACGTTGGTTGCAATATCAACTACTGCTTTGCCGCTAGATATCGCTTTCGGTGCAATCGACCAAACGACAGAGTTCAAACTTTCGTTTGTATTTTGCGTAAATCCTCCTAGGCAACGGGAGAGGAGTTCTTCTCTTGTTAAATCTTCGTAGATTTTTTGTACAGCATTGAAAACCAAGAGGGGCATAGCTGGTTTGTGAGTGTACATCTCGAGAGTTTGCGAGGCTTTCGCTCTTTGCCAAGAGCACCAAGAATCGGCTCCTGCGGGGCATCTATCGTGCTGAGGTTTTTCGTCTGTTGAAATTTTGTGATTTAATGTAGCGTATATTTCCTTGCGCATATTCTCTACTGAATCAGTATTTCGACGTATAGCCAGTCCGTAGTACACACTCAATTCGTCTATCAATTTTCCAGTTAATTTCCCTCGGCCCCCAAGATTTTTCACTTCTTTTTTCAAATTGCGTAGTCTTGTTCCAAGCCTTTTTTGTACATGACCTATACATTCCTTTTTTATGACGGGAAAATCGCCATACGGCTTAGCATCTTGAATACTCTTATGCGTTTTGCTGTCGCCATCTCCGATGTAGTACGCATACCGAACATTGTACAAAGACTCGGAACGAGAGAACATTTCCACCATAGCGTCGGGCTCCATTTTCCCTGCACTCCCATTGTGATTTGCATTACAGTACTCTTCGTGTAAAGCGTGCCATTCTTCATACTCGGTAGTGTCTTTCTTTTTTCCCCAGTGCTCACACTCCTTGCAATATTTTGACTTCACGCAAATATCAATTACTTTTCCGGAGTACCATCCGACTAAACTTGCGAATCCGTACAGTGAACTGAAGCCACGTTTTCTCCAGGAGCCGTCCCCTGACACTGTCAAACCCTCAAGCTGTACTTTTTCTGTACAAATCTGTTTTTCCTCCTCAGCAGCTTTTTGTAGACATTTAGATTTGACAGCGTCCGTAGCAGTTACAATGCTCTTTACAATTGCATCGTACGATTTTTGAAACACTGGTTTCGGGAAACACATAAACGCACAAAATTTAGTTATTCCTTGCCTTCCGATACCAATTATTCTCATAGCAAAAGTAACACGTCTATTAATATCGTAAGCATGACCATTAATTAATGGACTGCTGTCAATTGAAGTACTTCCGCACTTTTGACACAAC